GTGGTACATGTGCACAGCACTTTAACGTAACGGGAGCCATGTCCCGTAATAGGATCTGAAACAGTCATCGAGATCCAATGACTAAATTTGGGTACAGTCCTAACTCAAAGTATGGGCATTACAAACACACGATACCGTTATATAAAAGGTAAAAAGGTAAAGTTGTCCCTGTACCTAACTAATTAAACACTACACCATGAAGGCGTATTGGGGAGTGGATGTATAGATTTACTTTTTCTTGACCTCGGCAATATATGTAGGTGAGTGGTAAGCTTCACGCCCCGGCCGTTTTATCCCCCGTGAAAGAGTCCCCGGTACACGTTGAATAGGAGGTTGGGTGGACCCCAGAGCCGGTCAGGACGACGTGGAGAAGAGAAAATTCTTGATCCTACCGGGACTCGAACTCCGACCCCTCGGTCGTTCAGCACGTAGCCAGTCGCTATACCCACTACGCTATCTCGGCTGTTTATACCCGTATATTCTGTTACAAATATTAATCACATATTTCCTTTTTAATTCAAGCTCCGCATGTACGTTTAAGGCAGTTGAGAACAAGTTCCAAGCGACATTTCACCCATCCATATATCTTTAATAGGCATCAGAACACAACGACTTCAACATTACTAAGTGGATAACATTTTATAATTTTTCACGTCTAGAAATTTTGATAAGTCAGTAAACCACGAAGTATAGAATGTAATAAGGAGTTTAGAGCAGAACTCACAGCGCCTGCGCAGCTACGGCACAGAGGTCCGGTGCTATAAATAATGTGTTGTTAGTATCCATTTAGTGAAAGTGAATTTATAACCCAGCAACACAATTCAGGTTCGCTAATAGATTAGCGTGTTGCACTTGTCCATGGATTGTTACTCGGCAGTCAAGGCATTTATATTTCTCCAATCGTAAACATAGTACTAATTGTTGTTAGGTTGTTATTATTAGTATTATTATTATAGCGAAGGGATACAGCCGGGGTTCGATTCCCGGCAGGTGCAAGAGATTTCTCTTCACCCCAGAGCATCCAGACCGGGCTCTGGGGCCCACCAAGTCTACTGTCCAATGGGTATAAGAGGGGTTTTCCGAGGGTCTAAGAGGCCGGGCCGTGAAGCTGGCCACTCACCTCCATCTAGTGCTGAAGTCAAGAAAGCTGAAGTTACACCACCCTTCCTCAATACGTCTTCATGGCGCAGTGCTTAATTAAGCACGGAGACAAATTTACCTTTTACCTTATTACTAGATAAGAACTGTGCGCCAGGACAGCGAAGTCGGTATAGCGACTGGGTATGAGCTGGACGAGCAAGAGGTCGGAGTTCGAGTCCCGGTAGGGTCAAGAATTTTCTCTTCACGTCGTCCAGACCGGCTCTAAGGTGCACCCAACCTCCTATCCAAGAGGTACCGGGGGCTCTTTCCCAGGGACTAAAAGGGCCGGAGCGTGAATCTGAAAACTCACCTCCAACTAGTGCCGAGGTGAAGAAAATGTGGATCAATACACCCACTCCTCCATGCGCCTTCATGGTGTAGTGCTTAATTAGTTAAGCACAGGGACAGCTTTACCTTACTAGAGGAGAAGTTATTACGTAAGCAAGGCCGCGCCATAGCTGAAGCGGTTAGTCGCTGGCTTCGCACCGCGGCGGCACGGGTTTGATCCCGGGTCTGGTCAAGTGGGATTTGTGGTGGACAAAGTGGCGCTGGGGCAGGTTTTCTCCGAGTACTTCGGTTTCCCTTGCCAATCTTCATTCCAACAATTGCTCCACAATCACCGTCACCTATCATCTGGGGCTGGTACAGGAGGCCAGAAGTGGCCGGAGCACAAGGGACCCCACTAGCAATAAAGAAAATATTACGTAAGCAGATTTTCTCAGTTTGTCTGCGTTAAATTTGTAGAGTATAACCTCAACGATCAGCATCGTCATCATGTTCATAGTCATTAACTTACAAACAATGTTTCTTACAAAATTTGCGGACACGCGGTAGCGCAGTTGGTTGAGGAACTATGCTACAAGCCGGAAGGTCGCGGGTTCAATTTCCGATGAGGTCACTGAATTTTTTTATGTTGACCTAATCCTTCCAGCCACACTATGGCCCTAGGGTCGACTCAGCCTCTAACAGAAATGAGTACCAGGAATCTTCCTGTGGGCAAACGGCGGCCTGCGAGTAGAGCTGACAACCTCACCGTCATCTGTGAGCCGACTATCTATAGAGAAAATATGGGAGCCTCGATGTCTCACAACCCTATGGACCTCCACCTTGTTACACGGGATAGTTTTGCCGTTACCTTACAAAATTTTGTGGGCATGTTTACGATGTAGCCCCATACAAAATTTCGCATGCCTTATTCAGATGGCCCATTAGTTAGCGCGATCAAACCGAAAACTAAACGCAGGTTCCATGCGGCCTCATGGAAAGACCTTGTCAACATGAGTGTTATTCATTACGTAAGCAGAAGTTTCGACAATAAACACGCTGTTCAACACTGAACTTCATTTCAGTGTAAATGTCGACCGCCTATTGACACCTCTAACACAGACTTGACTATTAATGCGATTTACTGCAGTGACAAGATCACGCCCCCCTTATCAGCGCTAATGACTCAATCTGTTATCGGCAGTTACAGCAGGAATCCTTCAGAAATGTTGTGTCCGCTGTGCGCTGCTCCCAGGTTTCCTCGATGGCTGAACGCCCTGTATTACTAGATTATAAACCCAGGCAACACCGAAGTGTCGGACATTTCCATCTTTTCCCCTAAAAACGAGACACGATAAAAATAAAAACAAAAATCAATAATACGTTATTATATTAAACATTTATAAATTTAAACATACAAAAATGAGATCAAAATTATTAATTTAGAAACATGGCACTCAAAAAATCATACAAAAATAAAATGTAGGTCTTACTCTGCGAGAGCCTTCCTAGATTCACCTGAATATTTATCAGATATGTAAACCTGTTCCAGAAATAGTTTTTCTTTCGATTTATGAGGGGGGGGGACTCTGAACAAGAGAAATCTTTGAAGTTGGTCTACAAAGTGGTTAAGACTTTCACTGTTTCTATTTTACGTATGTTTTTTTCCCCCATCTGACCATAACGCATTTATTATTGAGAAAACACACTCAATCGGTGCATTAGATCCAGGCAGTGCCAACATAAATGAAAAAAAGACATACTGCCAATAGGAAAACTAATAATTTGTGAAACTGTGTTTTGTGGATTAGCCACCAGGAGTGTTAATATCGTTATAGAAATTGCAATTGCAGAGAATAGCGCCTCTTACCGAGCGGGCATCGATTATTAATGTTAATTAATGTTAGAGAAGAGCACTTAAAAAGCGAGATATTATATGAAAAAAAAAAGGGACGAATGAGACCCCTAAGCTAGATGAGAGGACACATTCGCCTGAAGCCGGAAACAGGCCAATGGCCTATGCCCTTGAACAATTGGAGGAAATGGAAGCATTGTATTACACTTACAGGCTCCATAGTAATACGAAATAAAAATAAGATGAGAGGTTGCTAGATCTGACACGGAATAATCCCGGGGCAGTGAATCGCTTTCTACAAGGTACCAACCTGGAAACAAGATAATCCAACGCGCGGCGTTCGTCTGAATCTCGATACAGGCAAATATGGTCCAGTGTTCGAGATACGAGGTCGGTCTCGCAACTGTCAAAAAAAAAAAAGTAAAAGTAAAGGTATCCCTGTACCAGGCCGTGAAGGCCCATAGCGTTGTGAGACGTCGAGTGCCCCACATTATCTAGACAATCGGCTCAGAGATGGAGGTAAGGTTGTCAGTTTTACGCGCCGACCGCGCTTTACTCCCCCAGGAAAATTATTTAATTAATTCCTGGTAGTCATTTCTGTTAGAGGCTGAGTGAACCACAGGGCCATAGTGCGGCCGGAAGGATTAGGTCAATTGAAAAGAAAATTCAATGACCTCACCGGGATCTGAACCCGCGACCTTCCGGCTTGTAGCTACCGCGTGCCCAGTCTCGCGACCGTAACCAGGGATAATTAGGGCGGGGGCACACCAAGGAAACTGGCAACCGCAACGCAACCGCGATTTCCGAGAATTGTTATCAGCCTGGGTTGAACATAGGTTAGTGAATGGAGTAGCGCAAATTGAGGAAACGGCAACGCAACTCGCGGAAAGACTGAGAAACTCAACTTCCAGGTAATGGAGCATTCCAGTCTGCTCACAATTGCGTTGCCGCGTGGTTTCCTAGTGTCAGGTGTTCTATAACGCACGTCAGTGATTCCTTTTTTATTATGACATGGTAACTATTATTATCTTCCAACGCAGAAGGTAAGTGCACGAAATTAAAAAATGCAATCATGCATTACGTCGGAAGAACATGGTCACTTAATATAATCTGAGCAACTACTCAGTCTGCGCCTGCTAATCTGGAAACTAGTTGCCTGCTTGAAATCGGCGATTATTCTCGGAAATTGCGGTTGCGTAGCGATTGCCAGTTTCCTTGGTGTGCTCTCGCCCTTAGTGTATGACACTCAGAGGCAGTTTTACAGTTCATGGGACCCTAGGGCACTGAGAAATGTAGTGGAGCGTGGGTGTGTTTTTATTGACCAATGAAGGCAAGGAGCAGAAAGTACGCTGATTTTATTGCACATGCAAGCCCCTGGGGCACTCCACCCTGTCATGCTAGACAAGTTGTGTGCCCGCCTCACATGGCACCCATAAGACGCGAGGCCCCCAGGCCATGGCACACTTCGCCTACGCCCGTATCTGCCTCTGGTGACGACATGTGGTCTGGTGGAAGCCGGAAGGGAGAACGTCAGTCCAATTTCTACGAGACCATGCGCCTTCACATCATATGGCACAAGTAATCTTCACGGCACAGCATTTGATTTGCTCGTGTACGAGTGAGTATCTTCTGAAACATGCTGCAGAATGACTGGGCATATTTTCTGAAGCAAACGTTTCCATGCACACACAGCAAAAAGCAGTGTACTATTTTGTTACAAATTAAAATTAACCCAACTTACTTGCATAGCTTCTTTCACGTAATTCGCCATACAGAACGTCATATCACCCAGATCACCCGCTTTATCCATTGGTCCCGAGCTAGTGGCAGTTTGGGGCAGGGGAGTGAAACATCGGCCCTTCGATCCACCCGCAGTGTCCATTGATGGGACGCCCAGGTAATCTTCTTCAGCGTCCATCTTCTTAATCACCAATAGCAATAGTAAGGTCAACAGTTTCCTGCAACTCTGCCCTTGTCTTCTGCTTTTTACGTAAGATAACAGACACATGGGTCACAACTTCCGGAACTATGAGGCGAGTTTTGCACCGTACATACTTATCTCTAGTCTTACTAAATCATGGTTTACTTACACAGTTCACTGTGAACACAGAACGTTATATACTTTCAAACTAATAAATTAATTTTTGTTTCTAACGCCTGGATTTCACTCTGAGACTTGGAATTGTTTTTTGCGGCGTACATACTGATCTCAGATGTTAGCAGATCCTGATTTATTTACATAATTAATGATTCACTGTGGGGACAACTTTTTATCATTTCAAAACCTAGGGAATAGTATATGTTTCTTAAGTCTGGATTTCACTTTCCTCGCAGTTTTCCTGCACATTAAAAAAGCCACAACACTGAACGTGGCCGTCACTAAAAATCTCTACCACACGTCACATATTTTACACATATCACATGTCTCCTCGTGGGAAATATAACACATCAACTGCTCCTACTTCGGAACGCCTGAACTTTTACTGTGTCTGCTACTGTAACCATTTTCCTCTTCACATAGCAGGCTGGAGAAAGTCAGGCGGCTAGAACGCACCTTAAATTCTACACCACAAGTAACTGTGATCTCTCTCCGTACGCTGGTCGTGCAAGAATGTGCTTCACACTACGGTTTGGAGTACATTGAGATGACGTTGTCCCTCGATAACTCCGCCGTACTTGTGTCCCTGTGACAGCTGTCTGGAAAGGAAATCGCTGAGTCACTCCTCACCTGTGGACAACAAGCAGCGAAGATGACGTGAAGAAGTGTGCAATAACTTAACAGCGATAAATGAATGAACTTCGTGCTCACAAACATATAGGCGGGATCCAGAAACGCTTAGAAATAAAACAGATTACTGAGTACAAACCAAACAATCGTGGTACACGGAAAGAATACTGCACAGTCATCTCGTTTGCTGTTTGTGGGCCGTATGCCACGTTTATCTGTGACTGGTCTAAACTACCACACAATGAAACTTATACAGTGACGCTATAGTGTTCAGACGCGGGAGAAGTTCTTTAGTAACTTTTCTTTGGATAGTGACTAATTTGCGACTTTATTTCTTGAACGGTGGTGATGCGTGCTATTCGAATCTGAGGTCAAGACCTTTTCCCCGCGGACAGATAGCCGGAATTGTGTCATATCCGAGCACAGGATTCTCGTTTGGTTGGTCCGAGATCCTACACCGATGTACACTCTGTATTAATATAATCTAAAAAGGGACAAAAGAAATGTCCATCTGAAAGTTTTCATTCGAAAAAACTGAACGTAATTAGGTAACTAAATAAACGGCACTGATTCCTTTTCGGTAACCTAACAGTTCCTTATCTTATAAACAAATTTCCAGCATTTTGTGGAGTCTGAAGGTTCATTACCATGTTCACAAGAGCCCGCCATATTACTTCTTTGTGATTCGTCTGCATATTATCCTCTTCTCTATGTCTATGTCTTCCTAGTGCTTCTCTCCTTCAAGTTTTCCTACCAAAGCTTTGTATTAATTTTTCTTTTCTTTCGTGTGTGCTACACGTTCTGCCCATCTCATCTTCCTTGGATTGATTATGTCGTTATTTCCAGCCTCCCTTAAGGACCAAGTTTCATACGGCCGTGTCATAGCTCAGGTCATGTGGGGTCTGTGGTGGACAAAATGGCACTGGGGAATGATTTCCGCTAGTAACTCGGTTTCCTCTGCCAATTCTCATTCCATCAACTGCTCCACGCTGATCAACATAACACTTCAGGGTAGGTCCACTAGTGCCTGATGCACCAAGTGGGCTTAACCCCAAGAAATTAATTCAATCATATCCATATAAAACAATTCTGTTTATCTTTGCGTTTACAGATGAGACGGGAAGTTAACAGATTCTGAACTGCGCGTTAATTTTGTCCTTAATTTGATCAAGACTCTTGCAGTTAGTTCGCATTCTGACCGCCTGGCATAGTCCGGCCCGGAGAAGTCTTGTGTGTTAGCTTATGATAATACCAAATCTACTGTAACGATAGTAAGTACGTAAAGGTATCCCTGTACCAGGCCGTGAAGGCCCATAGGCTTGTGAGACGTCGAGGGCCCCACATTATTTAGACAATCGGCTCAAAGATGGTGGTAAGGTTGTCAGCCTTAAGCGCCGGCCGCGCTTTGCTCCCCAGGAGAATTATTTAATTCATTCCTGGTACTCATTTCTGTTAGAGGCTGAGTCAACCCCAGGGCCATAGGGCGGCTGGAAGGATTGTGTCAATTGAAAAAAAATCCAATGACTTCATCGGGACTTGAACCCGCGACCTTCCGGCTTGTAGCATAGTGCCTCAACCAACTACGCTACGGCGTGCCCCCACCACTCTAAGGACAATTTCGGCTCAAAATTGGAAAGGATCACCCAAGCAAACCACAGATCTCAGTTCGGAAGTCTGTTTCGTCGAAGTAAGGAGGGCATTTAAATGCTACTTTCATTATTTTGAAAAAAAAATAAATAAATAAAAAGCAGGCTTAGATATTATCTTGTTATTTGTGTGTCTTTGTTCCCGCCATCAAATTTTGAATGCCTGAACTAGTCTTTACGAAATTTGGTATGTATGTCATGGCACCTGAGGTCACCTCAACGGCGTACTTCACAAATCCCCCATTTTTGCTACGAAACAGTTCGCTAAACACGTTCCCGCGGCAATGAACACAAGCAACAATAGAATTGTTGAACACGTCGTATCAAATAAGAGTCTGTGTGTCTGTCTGTGTATCCCCAATTTTAGTATATGTACATCCGAAGCGGTGGAGCCGGGGTAGCTTAGTCGGTATAGCGACTGGCTATGGGCTGAATGACCGAGGGGTCGGAGTTAAGAGTCTCGGTAGGGTCAAGTCGTCTAGACCGGCTCTGGGGCCCCCTCAGACTCCTATCCAATGGGTACCGGGGGCTCTTTCCCCGGGGTAAAGAGGCAGGAGCGTGAAGCTGACCACTCATCTCCAGCTAGTGCCGAAATCAAGAAAACGTGGATCTATACATCCAATCCTCCATACGCCTTCATGGTGTAGTGCTTAATTAGTTAAGCACAGGGACAACTTTACCTTTTGCCATCGAAGCGGTGGTTTGAAGGCTCCCATAACCGCCACGCAGTAAAATATGGTCATGATACCCGTGGGATTCGGGGTGTGTGCTGTGTATCTGCGTATTGTTGCTAGGCAACGGCTCAGTAAAAACGTTCCCGGGGCAACGAAGACTTGTTGGAGGCGTCATTTTCTATGCGGTCCGCGTCGTATCAGGAGAAAGTAAGCGATTAGTTCTTATCAGAACTTCTTGTTTCTTGAGGACGCTAATGTTTGTTTACATAATTACTTGGACTTTTGATAGGTGAAAACATAGGGAGGGGCTGTATGTACAGTATAATGAGGTTTACGTCACGTATCAAAATAACCAAAGATTCGTGTGTCCGCACATGCATTCATATGTCAGATGCAGACGGTCTATTGGCGATGGGAATACAGCGAGACATTCTGAGGGTGAAGAAGCTTTCGGTACGCTGTTCGAAACCAGCAGCAACCAAGGACCTGATAGGGCATATTGGTTACCTCAAGCCTAACCAGAAACACGTGAAATGACACAAAAAGTTTTGAAGAATTCTGTGTTATTGGATGTAATGCGCTGTAAAAGGTGAAGCTATCCCTGTAACAGGCCGTGGATGCCCACAGGGTTGTGAGACGTCGAGGCTCCAACATTTTCTCTAGACAGTCGGCTCACAGATGGCGGTGAGGTTAAGTAAAGCTATCCCTGTAACAGGCCGTGGATGCCCACAGGGTTGTGAGACGTCGAGGCTCCAACATTTTCTCTAGACAGTCGGCTCACAGATGGCGGTGAGGTTAAGTAAAGCTATCCCTGTAACAGGCCGTGGATGCCCACAGGGTTGTGAGACGTCGAGGCTCCAACATTTTCTCGACACAGTCGGCTTACAGATGGCGGTGAAGTTGTCAGCATTGCGCGCCGGCCGCCCTTTACCTCCAAGAACATTGCAAGAATATTCCTGGTACTCGTTTCTGTTAGAGGCTGAGTAGACCCCAGGGACATAGTGCGACTGGAAGGATTGGGTAAATGTCCTATCAGTTATTAAAATTACAGTGGAAGGAGAGTAGGCTACTAGTGCTGTTTCATGTAAAGAAAACGTTTAAGGCCTCCAGAGAACATAATAACAGACGCATTGAACGATAGTTGTACGTATCTATTCGCTAATTTGCCCCGAAAAAATACGCTAGACAAACGGGGAGAAACGTTAGAATTAGAGACAAGGAATACGTACACGTAATCAGATGCAACAGAGCCAGCTCTGATTATGCACAATATATTCTGGAGATGGGATACTCCTATGGCCCTCTCGAAGTTTCGTTTGAATTGTTACACAGTAAACACGTTACAATATGAATACATTTGAAAAATTCTATATTTACCAAGCCCGTAAACAGGACTTCGATTAAACTACATACCGATAAGAACAGCCCAATATCTGACTAAATTCTGAACACACCCACCCAACATACGCAGTGTCGCATAAACTTTCACTAAACATTAGCTGTCCACAGCTCATTCGACGCAGGCACACAATCACAGTAAGTAACCTATCATTCTTAATGTTCAAGTAAATATGTAGCAGGCAATTCAGTATGTTACATGTGTATGTTTCTATATTAAGTCTGTATTTAGAGTTCCAAATGTATCTACGAAGAAAGGCACAATACAACTAGCGTACCAAAATAAACAAAAAACAATCAAACGCTACATGAACTCCCAAATCACGTCAATGGACGTGCCTGAAAACATTAACGTAATGCTGTAAATGACTTAAAGTTCGCCGTTCTTAAAGTTTAATGATCTTTGAGAAAAAATAATTTTAATTATTTTTTAAACTTTTATAGACGTTCTAATATTAATCCTTTTAATTCACTACATCAATTACAGCTGTCAATATATTTGTATGTTTTAGCCATTATTAAGACTATTAAGACTCATTAAGACTATTGATTATATAACACTTTAGCTATATTGTAAATTCAGTGATTGATCCAACATTATATTGTATCAATTAGACTTTATTGTCGCACTTGTGCACTGACTATCCACAACACGTACTTATAGTAACGGTGTATTGTGTGTATTATGATCACTTGCTTTGTGTGACGGATGTATAGAAACTCTGCTTTGCTTACTGCTAGTGGGGTGGGACTAAGTCCCTTGTACTGCGGCCACTTCTGGCCTATTGTACCAGCCCCAGATGACAGGTGAGGGTGATTGTGGAGCAATTGGTGGAATGAAGATTGGCAGGGGAAACCGAAGTACTCGGAGAAAACCTGCCCCAGCGCCACTTTGTCCACCACAAATCCCACTTGACCAGACCCGGGATCCAACCCGGGCCGCCGCGGTGGGAAGCCAGCGACTAACCGCTTAAGCTATGGCGCGGCCCTCTGCATACCTAAGTTCATAAATGGATTTTTCGTATAGATCATAAACCGTTAATCAAATTCTGATGAAATTTGGTACGAAGTAGGAATCTGTGCAAAACGTTATTTGGCCATGTCAGTTTTTAACAACACAGCCTGTTTTAAAAACCTACTCCACATAAGGCAACTGGGCTTTTCCACGTATAAGAGTAAAGTGAAGAGGCCGTGGAGGCCCATAGGGTTGTGAGACGTTGAGGGTCCCACATTATCTAGATAATCGGTTCAAAGATGGCGGTAAGGTTGTCAGCCTTACGCG